TCCCAAGGCCAAGGTCTTGGGGGAGCAGCCACCCCATCACTTATGTCCTTATGTCTGTTGTGGGAAGTATGTATTCTTTCCACCTTCCAGAGCGGCAGGTGATCCTTTCCCAAAAACCTACTCTTGTCTACTTGTAAGAATCATATGTCATCATGGAACATTTAGAAAATGCAAAATTGTACTTTCTAACATCTTGTTTTATTTCCTTCTAGTTTTTTTTCTATGTATATACATGTTGATATAATTAGCATTTTATCACATACAGAGAATAGAGGCCTGAGGTTTTCCCCAAATTACATTATACATGAGAATTTGCCAGACTTCTTTTATGCGTATGATAAAATTTTAGGTATCATTGTTAATGGCAACCTAAATCACATTGTATAGCTATAACAAATCTATTTAAGCAATTTTCTGATGCTGGTTGTTTAGGCTGCTTCAGATTATTTGTTGTTTTACATGGAAATCATATTGGGTTACTTGGCATTTTTTTTTAAGATTTATTTATTTATGCATCCAGAACTGGGGTACAGGCCAGAGGTGCAGGGGCAGTGAGAGGATTCACCAGAGCAAGAGTGGGGAACAGAACAGGCCAATTGACGAAGTACACTGCTGAGGGGAGCAGCGTGCAGATCAGGAGAGGTCTGCCGCCTCTCCTCCAGGGTGGGGATCAAGCTCATGCTGAAGTGGCTGTAGCTTCTTAGTGCTGTGCTTTAACCCACTGCGCCACCAGGGAGGGCCCCGTCTTGGCATATTTTTTAAAATTATTTCAGTTCCCACCTCCTCCAGAAAGCCTTCCTAGACTACTTCAACCCCGGCAATATCTCCCATCTCTGAGTTATAGCACCTGTAGCCTGTCTAACCCAGCTGACGATGGAGCCTGGAGCTTACTCATGACTGTCTGATGGTCCCACAGGGTCTCACAGCCCAGTTTCAGATGAGGTTCTACTGCACATGTCCCTGGGAGCCTCCAGCACCCAGCATCAAGGTGCTCAACACCTGCTTGGACTCCAGACCCCTCAGATGCAGAAGCCTGATCAGCTCCACTTGCCCGCAGTCTGGACCACAGATGGCCATGGTACAAAGTCAGTTTGACATTCTACATCTTTTATGGGCACTGAAGAGGCCAAAGGCCCTCTACAGTTCAGCCCTAACTTTACAGTCCTAGTCACGTCCACAGGAAATCTTAAGGTTTGGTCAAAACTGCCATGGCTGAAAAGATTTCACTCGTCCCCAAGCTGACTAGAGTGTCACTATCTCTGGTGCCAGACAGTTGGGGTTCCAATTCCAGGCACTGTGTGGTCAGGCGGTGTGGCCAGAGGCCTGGCTTGGCCTCCTCGGTGGGCAGAAGCCCCAGGCAGTGCAGAGGGGCTGGTCTCAGGGCCCCTCGATGCCTGGCACACTTCACCCCAAGCAGGGCATCCACTATCCACCCCCAAGCAGAAATCCCCTGCCTGGCCTGCGGAAGAACTGACATTGAACTGACATTCAATGTCTGGCTCACAGACATTGAAGTTTAGACTCTTAGATTCAACACAATCCTCTAGGATCCCCACTGCTGGGTGCCATCATCTCTCCCTTGAAGGGCGGCCACTCTGCAGAGTCCCCTCACCCAACTCCAGTCCAGCCCTACCTGCCTAGAATACATCTCCTCTACTATTTCTGCAATCCTCTGTCAAACAGCACCTCCCCCAGGGGCCTCCTTGATGGCGCAGGGGCTAAAGACAGCCCTGTCAAGCTATTGCCAGTCACTGTAGCACAAGTTTGATCCCAGCCAGCCAGGGAGCTGATCCACATGGTGCAACAGGCTTCTCCTGTCTCACCAGCTGCTCTCCTCAGCAATTTATTTCAGAGGATCTGCCCGTTCTGCTCCCCACTCTGTCTCGGGTGAATCCTCTCACCACCCCACAACCTGGGGCCTTGCACTGAATTCCCCATTCAAAGACAATGTGAAGACATCCAGCTGAGTCTTGACTGGCTGATACCTGCAGGAAGTGTATTGTTGGGGGAGGGACTTAGGCCCCACCTCTAGTCTTTGAGAAACAATTAAAAATATTAGCTGCCATTTATTGAGTTGCTAACAAACCAAGCATCTCACAGGTATTATAATTACTCCTCACCACCTTGTTGAGAAGGACATGATTACATCCCCATTTCATAGATGAGGAAAGCGAGGCTCAGAAAGGTTAAGCAACCTGCTAAGGTAGCTGGCTAGCAGGCAGTAGTGGGGAGACTCCAGTGAGGGAGGAGGGTCACATTAGTGGTGGAGAGCTTTGAGCTGTGGGGTCGATACAACCTTATTAGTGACCAGTGCAGGAGACCAGAACTCCTCACCCAGGGTCCACAACCAGGAGTTCACCAGCAGAAGGCTCCTCCAAAGTCAGTGACACACCGTGAGTTTGTTTGCTAACAGAGGAGCTCCTTCTCTCCTTTAGCTCAGTTCAGCAAACACCTTCATGTGCTTCCAAAGTGCCTGATACTTCTCTGGCTCTTAGAGGGTGAGAAGCAAAAGACCACAAGATTCCTGCCCTCCAAGGATACTGAATAGATGCTACAGAAGAGGAAGGGAACAAGGAGTGGGCTGGGTAGGACTGAGGGCTTCCTGGAAGAAGCGGTGACAAAGCTCATCTTGAAAGCTGAGTGACTCTCCACTTCCTGGGCCAGTACCCCTTGCCTCAAAAGCTGCCAGAGAAACACTGCCTTTCCAGACTCAGTATGACCACAGGCAGCAACCTCCATAGACATGCTCCTGTGTAAGACAGACAGACAGACAGACACACACACATGTGCACATGCATACACCTGTGTATGGAATTCCACTCCTTGCCAAAGACCCAGCACAAACCCACCTATCCAGTGGTACAGTCATCCCAGGGCAGGACTGGGCTTCTACCTCTGAGTTCACACACGTGCCTTGGCTCCACAGGGACACCACACTCCAGTGGCTTGAACACACACACAGATCATGGTCCTGCTCTCCTCCTAACCCTCGCACAAAGTGGGCAGTCCATAAACATCTGCTGAGTTTAATTATTTGGGATGGCTTGTTTAAATGCCTGTAGTCTTGGGGCTAACCACATGGGTTAAAATGCTATGCCCAAACACTACATGACATATATTTCAGCGACATCTTTAAAGATACGGCACCCAATGCAACGATAGTGAAGGCAAAGATAAATAGATGGGACTACATCAAGCTAAAGAGCTTCTGTACAGCAAAAGAGACATTACAAAAGACAGACAGACACCCCACTGATTGGGGAAAAAATTTTCTCACACAAAACTAGTGATAAAGGATTGATCACAAAGATATACAAAGAAATGATGAAACTCAACAAAAATAAACAACCCCATCAAAAAATGGGCAGAAGAGCTAAAAAGACACTTCTCCAAGGAGGAAATGCAGATGGCCAACAAGCATATGAAAAAATGTTCAACATCACTTGTAATAAGGGAGAAGCAAATTAAAACCACACCTCACCCCAGTGAGAATGGCACATCTTCAAACAACTAGCAACAACAAATGTTGGCGAGGATGTGGAGAAAAAGGAACTCTCGTGCACTGCTGGTGGGAATGCAAACTAGTACAACCACTGTGGAAAACTGTTTGGAGGTTCCTCAAACTGCTAAATATGGAGTTTCCCTACGACCCAGCAATCCCACTCCTAGGTATCTACCCAAAAGACATAAAAACACTGATTCAAAAGGTACCTGCACCCCCATGTTTACTGCTGCATTATTTACAATTGGAAAGACATGGAAACGGCCCAATGCCCAAAAGTGGATGACTGAATTAAAAAGATGTGGTACATATACACAATGGAATATTACTCAGCAACCAAAAAAAAAGAAACACATGCCTTTTGTAGCAACATAGATGGAGCTGGAAAAGATCATACTTAGTGAAATAAGCCAGAAAGAAAAGGAAAAATACTAAATGGTTTCACTAATAGCAGGAGTATAATGGACCAGGTGAGAAAATAATAATAATAATAATGAACAGTTATATACCAGAGATAATTTATGGGGGTGGAACGGGGAATGGGATCAAAAATGGTGGGGGGAGGGAAATGCACTGGACTTTGGTGATGGCACAAGGGTGATTTGGTGATGGGAAGCCCAAGGGGATTGCAACTGAGATGGGAAATTGCACAAAAATATGTAAAAATAAACTATTATATTATTTTAAATAATATTATGGCCAATTCAAAGCCAAGATTATCTGTTACCATTCAAGTGAAACAGTGGAGTGACAGGGGTCTCTCAGTGGTGTGGGAAAGGCCCTCTTTGCCTTCAACCCTCCACTTCCTCATCTGAAGGCCAAGGTTAGTGGTGCCTGGCAGATAACACCATCCTGGGACAAAATGACTCTCCTGAGGCTCCAGGCCTGGGTCAGGGCTGCACGGTCAGCCGATGCCAGCTATTGTCACCCGTTGAGGGGCACATATACACTCAGAGCCACTGGAACCCCAAGGGCAAGCAGAGAGCTCCTGGGGGGCAGGTGGACCCCTCCCCCACTCTGTTTACAAGCCTCTTCTATCATGATGCAGAGGGAGAAACCTACTTCACAAGGGGCCCTGGTATCCATGAATTAACAACCACAAAATTCTGTATCGATACTGTCTCTTACCATGGTTCCCTATGTCATTTCTTTTATTTCTTTTTAAAGATTTGTTTATTTATGCACACAAGAGCTGGGGTACAGGCCAGAGGTGCGGGGATGAGAGGATTCACCAGAGACAGAGTGGGGAGCAGAACAGGCAGATTGACTGAAAGGAGAGGAGCAGCGGATGGGACAGGAGAGGTCTGCTGCGCCACGTGGGTCACCCCACTCCCGGCCGGGGATCGAACTCGTGCTGCAGTGGCTGCAGCTAGCTTCATAGTGCTGTGTTCTAACCTCTTGCACCACCCAGGAGGGCCCTCCCTATGTCATTTCAAAACCAATTTCATAAACTACTCCTCAGACAACTTATGGTTGAAAAAGCCCTGCCCCCACTCACCCAGGGTGTCAGAGCCACTCTCCACCGTCTCGTTGACCTTCCTCGCAACTCTGGCCACCGCCTCACCCATCTTCTTCAGCATGCAGACACACGGGTCCTGTCGCCAGCCACCAGGCCGGTCTGCTGCTCACAGGGCCTGTGCCTGAGGAAGACACAGGGCTGTGAAGTGCCCGCCCACTAGCCAGGGAACCACCCCTGAGTCCCCCCTCCCAGGAAGCTGGACTGCAAAAGCCAGCAGGGAGGGGCCCAGGCCACTAACCTCCTCACGGGGGGCCCAGAGCCCAGGCCACATCCAACTTGGCCTCCAGAGTGACTGAGCTGGCCTTCAGAAGTGGGGGCAGCCCATCCCTATAGTTTCCTGGGAGGAGCAACTCATGTCACCTCATCAGACTGGGGGCCAGGCCCTGGAGCAGTGGCCAGGTGGCTGTGAGGCTCAGGTGTGCATTGGTGTGTGACTCATTTAAGAGGTGGAGCTTTGAGAAGGGGAGCAGAGCCAGCTGCTAGGAAGAGACACTTGTCCCTCCATCCCACGGTCTCTGAGCTGGTACTCTATCCCCAGCTCTTCAGAAATTTTTCCAGCTCCTTGTTCATCCCACCCACATCTGTCAGGATCCTCCTTCAGGCCAAGAAGTGGAGACACAAAGGCAGATGAACACAGCCCTACCTGGTCAGAGCTCACCATCTGGCAGGTGGGTGGTCTCTATGAACTCCCTTCCCACCTATCAATATGCAGGTAAGGTTAGTTTTAGTCTGCAGGCCTGATTTTTGGTGAGAATCTATGAGTTTATCTGTAAAACCCCAGGGGGGGAAAGAAGAGCAAGACAAAGAAACCAGAGAAGGGAAATTGGATCACTGGGGGGGGGGGGGGGGCAGAGGCTTAAAGAGGAGTGAGGAACACTATCTAAATTATTAGGCATTGAAGGACTTCAGGGACTCTAGAAACATCTCAGACTCCCTGTTTATTAGAGAAGGAAACTGAGGCCAAGAGAGAGGCTAACTCATCTGGCCAAGGTCAAAGTGAATAAGCATCAATAGCCCAGCCAATCCCCTTCTACATCCAGAGCCTTGGTGTAACAAAAGCTACCCACTGGGCCTCTGTGTACCCACTGGGCACAAGAGTTAAAGTCTTAGTGCTATGGAGCTATCTCGCCAGCCACTACGGCATGAGTTTGATCCCAGGCCAGAGAGGTGACCCATATGGTGCAGCAGCCCTCTCCTGTCACCTGCTGCCCCCCCTTGGCAGTGGATTTCAGTAGATCTGCCTGTTCTGGGCTCCACTCTGTCTCTGGTGAATCTTCTCACCCCCTAGCATTTCTGGCCTGTACCCTAGCTCTTGTCTGCATAAATAAATCTTAGGGGAAAAAAAGCACAGCACCAGAGGCAGCATCCACAGAGTACACACTTTGAGGTTGAGGTCAGTGCCCCTCTTTGTCCCTGCCTTCAGCTTCACCAACTGAGGAGTTCCAATAAGCTCACTCAGAGGGTCAAATGCATAGGAATGTAAAGGATGGACAGAAATGCTTGCACATACACACATGTGTCTGTCTGTCTGAGAACTGTCACAAGGAAAAGCCTAAATATGCTCAATTGGACAATCAGGACAAGGAAGGCCGGCTGGGGGCTGGCAAGCCCACCCACCTGCCTAGGGAGAATCAGGGGTGAGTTCATTACATGTGTGCCTCTCACCAAAGAGACTGACTCTGGAGGTCTAAGACACTGTGTAGTGGGAAAAGACTCCACGCTGAAGACAGACCTCATACCCAACTGCCATCGTTAGCTAAGACTTGGGAGAGATCCACAACTACTCTGAATCCCGGTTTCTTCATCTAAGTAGAAGATCAAAGAATACCTACTTCAGGGGGTCAACAAGAGGACTGAGCAAAATATCTATTGTTTTCTAGAGCCCAGGACATACACTCAGTGAAAGCTAGAGAGGATAAAGCAGCACCTGTGCAGACATAATGACAGCTTCTAAATGCCAGCTTCTGATTCCAGCTTCATACACATGTGACTTCACACAAACAATTCAGCGGAACTCATCTTTGAGGAATGAGTGGAATGTTCATCTCTCCACCTTCAGGAAGTCTTCCCTCATTGCCCCAGCCCTCAGGCTTCTCTTCTCCCTCAGTTTCAGTAGCACTTACTACTTTGGCCATAAACCCCTGAGTTGCTGATGAGCTTTTAAAAATACATATACTTATCTCTTCCCTTGGACTTCAGGTAGCTTGGGGCAGGAGCTGATCTATTCTGTGCTTTCCTCCTTGACTGTATAAATACATAATGAATGGTACCCCCAAATGGTGATGATGAAGCTCAGAGCCATCACTTGGGTTTCAAATCTAAATACAGGTCTTAAAATAAATCTAAAACATTGTCTAAATGAGAAGTCATAAATTCAAAAGTTGAATGGTGCCAGGGGGCAACTTGTAGAAGGTGGGTGAGGGTAAGCAGCAGGGCATGGTGAGGACTGTGGTAAAGTAAGGCATTGCCAATATGTGATTAAACAGGTCCAGAGAGTAAAGTAGGATAGAATAAATTGAATGCCAGAGATGGGGTGGGGGTGGGGGAGAGAGAAGTCCTGCTTTGCAGGAGCTGGCAATCCAGAATTTCTGTATTTACAAACTGGTTTTGCCTGGCTACAAGACTGGGAGAGGGGTGTCTTCTTTAGACCCTGACAGAAACCCTCTGCTAGGGTTCCAGCTTAACCTACCAGTGAGAACTCTACCTTATCTGAAGCCCCAGGGTGTGTGCAAAAGAAACGCTGTGACACCGCGGCCGCACCAGCTGCTCCTATATTTAGTTACTGGTGTGGTCACTTGGGAACTTTAGAGCCTGGCAGTCACTCAGAAGGGCAACTCGAGCCTCCTGAGCCATGAGAGCAAGCTCAGGCAGCAGGCTCCAGCTGGTGCTCTGGACCACACCAAGCGGAGGAACCTGTGGGCAGGTGAGAAGCAGAGGCTGGATCACAAGAAGCCCCGAAAGCCCACTCGAGGCCAGAACAGAAGGGACCCACTTTTCCACGCAACGGGAAGAAGCCTGCTTGGCCGTGAGCCCGACGGGCTGGAGCCTTGTTTGGGGGCCATGCACTCCCAAAGCTGAGCGCAGTGACCAGACCAGGGACCCAGCGCTTTGCGCATGGGGACGCCTCGCCCGTCTACGCCACCCTCCCGGCGCGCCCTTAGCCAATGGCTTCTCCCGCAGGCGGGGACTAGGGGAATAAAGCAGGCGGAGGAGAGATCATCTCTGCTGGTGATAGCAAAGGGCCAGGGACACGCGAGCTGCCCACAGACAGAGAAGCACGCTCGGGGGCTGGCACTTCCAGCTCCCCCGGGCGGAAGCAAGCCCCGAAAGTGTCACTTCAGGGACGAAATAGACAGCAGCTCCTCCCAGTAGGGGCTCCTCTCGCGGGAATGAAGGCCCGCTCGGGACCGTTTCCCAAGGCTCCCTATTTCCTGGCACCGCGTCCCCATTCCCCCGAGCCAATCCAGATGCAGTCTGCAACCAAGAGTCAGCGCGGCCCCTGGCCCTCAGGCACTGCAGAAGCCACAGCTGGGGCACCGCTGCTCTTTCCACCGGGTGACCGTGGGGGAGGGGAAGGTACACTACAAAAACGGGGACACTTCTCTCCCGCTTTCCCCCAGCCCCTCCAGGCTTAGCCTCAGACTAGGTTTACTTCTCGGGGCCCCAGCATGGGGCCCCGTTCCAGGCCGCTTTCTGCTCCACTTACGGCGACAATGCCTCCTAGCGCCCTGCGCAGCGCAGTCACGCTCCCTCGGCCACCGGCGGCGCCCCATGCAACAGCGGCGCTTCGGAGCCGGCGGGGAGGGGCGCGCGGAGCTGCGGTCTGTGCGCGCACGGCCACTCGGCCTATCGCCGCGCCACCACTGGCGCCGGGGCGGGGACAGGCAGCGCGCGCAGCCACCGAGCGCCCTGGAGCCGAGGCTGCGGGAGGGCGGCCAGCGCGCTCTCGCGTGCAGGGTGAGTCCGCTTTGTGTGTGGAGGGAAAACGCAGGAGGCGCGGAGATCGAGCCGGGAACGTGCAACAGATCCCAGGGATCAGTTAGGTCGAGGTTCCAAATTTATTTTTCTCAAGGGACTGAAGTTGAACTTACCCAGATCAGGTGCTTTGAAAATTGTGAAGATGGGAAATTGGAAACTTTTCTTGTGAAACCTTCAGATCTCCCCCCCCCCTTTTTTTTTTTTTTGAGAGAGAATTTTGGCTATACCGAGTTACTTCGCCTCTCTAAATTATTATTATTTTTTTTTAAGATTTATTTGTGCATATAGAACTCGGGTACAGGCCAGAGGCTCAGGGGCGGCGGGAGGCTTCACCAGAGACGGAGTGGGGAGCAGAACAGGCAGATCGATGAAGTACACTGCTGAGGGGAGCAGCGGGCGGGTCAGGAGAGGCCTGCCTCGCCATGTGGTCACCTCCGGGGCAGGTGGGAATCGAACTCAGAACTCATGAGGAAGTGGCTTTAGCTTCTCAGTGCTGCGCTTTAACCTGCTGCGCCACCAGGGAGGGCCACCTCTCTAAATTCTAAATCCGGATGTTCACCATAAAATCGGAGGGTCTCTGTGAGGATTCATTCCTGAAATGTCTAGTGCAGTGCCCACCAGCCCAGGGGGGAGTAGCTGCTTCCTCAGCTGCATGTACAGGATTGACACTATACACCCGACTAGGCACGATGAAGGAGAGAAAAGAGATGAAACCCCTACTCAACCAGTGAGGGTGCTCTAATAAACAGAAGCCTGGGAGAACACATTCATTAATTCTGCCTCTGGGGACAGGACAGTCTTATAAAGAACAGTTCCCCTGGGCCTGGATAGATACCCACCCAGCCCACCCAACCCTCCACAAACACACACCAAAAGAAATATGTCTGAACCCTTAATACCTTGGAAAGTGACGTTATTTGGAAATAAGGTTATTGCAGATATACCTAATAAAGATAACTAGAAGCCAGATAAGAGCAACTGGAGTTGGGTGTGACTGGTATTCTTCGAAGAGACCCAGAAAGAGAGACACGTTCAGAATGGCAAGAATGCTCAAGGACTGTGGGCAAGTACCAGAAGTTAGGAATAGGCAATGATCAACTTCTTCCTCAGAGTCTCCAAAAAAAGAGCCAACTCTGCCCACATCTTGATTTCAGACTTGTAGCCGCCAGGACTGTGAGAGGAGTTTTGCTTTCAGCCACTCAATTGTGGCAATTGTTACAACAGACTTAGGAAACTAGTACAATGACTGAGTGTGAGTATAACCAAGGCGATGAGAAGCATCTCTAAAGAAAACATTTCCAAACAGAATACTTGGTGCATGCAAAGCCCTGTCTTGCGGTATACCAGATGAATCAGACACAGACCCTGCCCTCAAGGGGTTACCACTCATGTGGTTACCTAGGTGACCATGTTTTCTCACTCTGCCTTCTCAGTTGGGCCACTCAGGCTTATCCCCCAAATTCATCGCCTCATCCCTGCCATGCATGTACCAGGTACTAGATATAAAAAATTGATTGTGCCCATATTGCCTACACTAAGATCCTTATTAATTATTCCAGACAAAGCAGACACTGCTGCTTCTGCTTCATTCAAAACCAGCCTTACATTTCTAGCCAACTTCCTCAAGTGGATGTCTTCTCCCTCCCACTAGACCTTGTGCAAACCTAAGATAGCAAGTATGTTGCTTCTATGCAGGGGGTAAGGACTCAGAGAGTATTACTGACCAGTGGCCCCTGCCTGGGGTTCTCCACATTCACAGCTTACCTGTCCCTTCTTCCAGGAATTTCGCCCTGGATCCTCCAGTTCCACATGGACCAGATACCTCCTTGCTGCTGTACCACCCTTCTGTTCCCAGTGTGTTTGCTTCCTCACCCAAGACTGCTTGATTTCTAATAGAACAGAGCTCAGCACATGGTAAGTGCATGTATCTGAATCATGAAATATCCCAAACTTACAAATCACTTAAAACTCCCACTGTGTGGTCCTTTGATTCACTAGCCCTAGCAAATGAATACAGTCTTTCATTTTCCATTCTATTCTCATACATCCTTTATCCTTACATCCTTTATCCTCATATATCATTTATCCTTTCTATGCATATTTGCATAGAAAGAAAACATGAAGTCCATGTGACATGTGTTAGCCAGACCACATGCATCATTCTATGCCTCCTGAGTTCTCCATCTGGGGCTGTATGTCAGCTTAGAGCTGACTGATCAACAGCCAGGAACTTGAGGTCACTCCAAGTCACTACTATCCTGGGCATAAGAGCAGTTGCCTAATTCTTTTTCCAGAAGGCTCTACCTTGTGAGAGGTACCCACCATAAACCCCCAACAGGTATTGCAAGGTTTGCAAAGGTGAGCAAGAATCAGATCTTCAAGATGCTTATAACTTGCTATGAGACATAAGACTAACCCCCAAAAGAGCTATAATAAAATCATTCTCAGGCTTGACCATTGCAAAACCACTTTCCTGATATTTACTATATCTGAGCCCCACACAATGGTGAGCTTGAGTCACTTGGATTTGGGCAGCAGGGCCAGATGCTGCAAGGAGGGGAGGAAGGGCTGAGTTTGGTAATTTGAAAGTTGTTTGTGAACACTGCCAGGGCCAGAACCCTATGACAATAACAAAACGCAAATAACACACAGCATTCAGTAGGCATTAATGTTATTCTAAGCATTTTATGCTAGTTCCTCCTATCATTTTCTTTTTTTAAAAGATTTATTTATTTATGCATAAAAGAACTGGAATACAGGCCAGAAGTATGGGGATGAGAGGATTCACCAGAGACAGAGTGGGGAGCAGAACAGGCAGATTGATGAAGTACACTGCTGAGGGGAGCAGCAGGTTGGTGAGGAAAGGTCTGCTGTGCCATGTGGGTCAGTTCCCGGCCGGGGATCAAACTCATGGCCTTGGATAGCTTCATATTGCTGTGCTTCAACCTGTTGCACCACCAGGGAGAGCCCCATTCCTCATATAATTTTCACAACAGCCCTTGTCACTCCTTCTCTCACCCCCTACTTCCAGTCTACTGAACTGTCCACAGCTGTAGTCACAGTGAAAATACAGATGTGATTTGTGGTGCCTTTCATCCTTCTCCTGAGCAGAGTTCTTCATAGGCTTCTCCTTTCTTTTCCAAACCTTTCTGGTGTGGAAATCCCTTTGGGGAAGAGATTCCCTTCTGGGTGGGGAAACCGCTCCTTCAAAGCCCGTGTTTTCCTTTGTAAGGACTCCCCCACCTAGACACCTCCCCACTCGTCACCGTGGCCTGAGTGAACCTCTTGTTAATGTCTACTGTCTTGAATCCTATTAAATTTTTAGAACTTAGAACTTCCAGAGGGCCAGGTTTTTTATTTTTCCCTAATCTAGGCCCAGCATAGGATTTGCATCTAGAACTAAACTGGTATTTTTTTAAATTATAGATCATATAGATGTTTCCTGATGAGCGGGTTGAGAAGTCATGAGGCAGCTTTATTAGTTATCTATGGCTGCATAACAAATGGACCAAAACTTACTGGCTAAAAGCACTTTTGATATGATGGTTTCTGGGGGGTGGAGGGCAGGAATCTGGGCACAGCTGGGTCCTCTGGTTCTAAGCCTCTCATTGTTTCTCACTGCCTCACAGGTTTAATTGGGGGGATCCTTTTCCTAGTTCTCTCACAGTATTGCTGGCAGGATTCAGTTCCCAAGAGCTGTTGGACTAAAAGATATCCCAAACCCTTACAAGTACTGGGCAAGATGCCTCCCTCAGTTCTTAGTTCTTTCCATCAAGCCTTCCACAGCATAGGAGTTGACTTTATTTGAGTGTGCCAGCAAGAGGGCAAGAGAGAGTATTATAAAAGAGAAGCCACTGCCTTTTGTAACCTAATCCTAAAAGTGCTATCTCACAGCATTCTAGAAACATTTCTAGGCCCAGACCATGCACGAGACAGAGGATCACATAGTGTGAGAATAGCAAGAGGTTGGATCATTGAGAGCCAGACAGAGCTGTCAACCATGTTGGTTAATACCAATATTTCTTAAGAATAGAATAGAATAGGGCCTTCCCTGGGTGGCGCAGTGGGTTAAAGCACAGCACTAGGAAGCTTAAGCCACTTCC